TACACAGCACACACACACATATATAATGTAAACACACTTTTATTTTGGATGTGATTAATCGTTGCACAGCTCTACTGATCACAGTCACGGTTAATTAATATAAAATCATGGAATAGGAGAGATAAAAGCTTGTGCGATATATCTGTCCCTAAATAAATACATAGAGAGGAAATATAAAAAGGCTCATATATTTCATTTGCAGTTATTACAGCACTAAGAGACTTTCATCCCATGTTTCACCGAGTACTGAGACTCACATTTGCAAGATGATATTGTTTGCGGTCTGGCGTTCGTGACAAACTGGTGTAATTTCATCGGTGTCGCGAGCATGGCCTGATATTTGTTCCTCTCGGCTCCAGATTTGAATCGCGGGGTCCCGAGGCCCTTCTCCTGACAGCACACAAATAATTACAGGCCGCTCTCTTCATTGGCTCTTATATTGCTCCTCTTATCTGAAGGCCTGCGGTGCGCTTGATCAAGTAAGGTCACTGTATTCTGACCATAACACAACTATTGCAGATACGATAAATAAAAGCCAGACAACGGTTTATCAGTTGTGTTTATATGTGTGTGTGTGTTTGCTACAAGTGTGCCTGAATTTCGAGCTTCTCCTCCAATGCAGAAGATTTAAGGGCCATTTGATCTGAATTTAAATGCGATTTAAATATTCAGTACATCCTCTGACCTGCAGGGGGCGCCAGCGTGTGTAGATTATTATTATATTAAAAGGGCGTCTTTAATACCTCAGTTTATGTGCGTCAATTATTTGCCTTTTATTTATAGAAATTTACTTCCCTCACAAAATGGTCATCAGTAGCTATGTTATCATTGACAAAACACAAAGTTTTATCAACAATAATCTTGAACAGGGAACGTTCTGGCAGGTTCTCTCAATCGTTTTTTAAATGTTAGCTACTAATTGTTTTAGAACGTTCAGAGAACATTCAAACGTAACGTTCTATAATGTTTGAAGAATCAGAAAATGGAATGTTCCCTTAACGTTCACATGACCAAGGCGAAAAAAAATTAACTGAACGTTCTGAGAACATTCATAAACAACGTTTTCATAACTTAATGGGAACGTTAGCAAAATTCTATGTATTTTAGTCAGTGTTATAGACACTAAGAGTCTAAAAAATACTAACAACTGACAGTCTCGTTCTCAATCCGAATCAGCCTTTGTTTTTAGCATTAAATATTAAATTAACTGTTTATTACTACAACACATATAAGCAGTTTGGCTAACTGACACAAAATCTGCAAGAGACTTGAATAATTCGGTAAACATTCGAGTCTATTTTTTTAAAGCAACAGTTCATTGAAAAATTACAATTCTGTCATCATTTACTCACCGTTCAAACCCTGTCCTGTCACTGTAAGGACCAACAACAGCCAGACATTTCTCAAAATATCTTCTTTTGTTTTCCACAGAGGAAAGTCAGTGAGTCACCAACAGAAGCGTTGAAAACCTTCCCGCCGTTTCTCAAACTTGCATACGGAAGCCCATTTGCGCAACATAAGAAAAACATAATCATGCTTTGGTTAATCAAAATTATGAAATAAAAACTCAATTATGAAATACAATATGCAAATAAAGATGTTCAAGTGTTTATTCAGGTTTGAAGGAATGATTTAAATAAAATATAACTTAAGTCATAATTTCAGTTTTATATAGCCTAAATGTAATTTAGTATGTCATAATTTCGAGTTTCGACTTCTGTCATAATTATTTATGATTTACAAAACCATGATTTTTTTTTCTTCTTATGTGGCAGAAAATGGGCTGCCTTTAATGTGCATATTTAATAATCTGGAGCTCAATAAACAAAGAGCCAATGAAATCCCTCTCCCTTCTCCTCCTTATATGGTCACGGTGCATTTCCGGCTATATGCAAATGACGCAGTTAAAGGTGTTTGTTTATCATGATTTGAAAGGATGAAAATCAAATGTAACCATAAAAATGACAATGCATTATAATTATCAATTGAAATCCTTTAATAAATTTGATCACCTCAGAGTAACTGAATGATTCACACACAACAAAAATAAACAAATCATAGAGTTCTGTGCTGCTAAACATAATTGCTGTGCAGTTCATTACCATGTGATGATGAATCCTTGTTGTATTGCTTTTTTTTTTTAAAGTTGCTTTGGATAAAAGTGTCTGCTAAATTAATACACTAGTTTTATACTGAATTTACTTTATCAATTTAACTGTGAAAACATTTTACTACAGTAAATTGACTGTAAAATATGAATGTAAAATGACAGTTATAAAAATCTAATGAGATCTAACAAAATATAACAAAAGAATAAAAATACTAAACAATAGTCACATTTTATGGCATGCTTGATCATCATAGACAGAAGTTGAATATATATTTACCATTGTGTCTCCTGTCAGTATTACTCAAAGATGTGAAATTGATGGGCAAATATGCTTAAGGTCCAAGAACACCATGTCAATGTCTAACAACCCTTAATGATCCTAAAAATAGTATACATTTTCTTTATGCACAATGTTTTTTGCACCCATATTTTGGTGGGAATCGCCCACAGACAGACTTGTGGGATATAAACTCGCAATTACGAGAAAACACCTGAAATGTGCGATGTAAATTCTCAATTACGAGAAAAAGTCAGAATTGTGGAATATAAACGCGCAATTGCGAGAAAACACAGCTGAAATGTGGGATATAAACTCGCAATTGTGAGAAAACGCCTGAAATGTGCGATGTAAATTCTCAATTACGAGAAAGTCAGAATTGTGGGATATAAACTCGCAATTGCGAGAAAACGGCTGAAATGTGGGATAAAAACTCGCAATTGCGAGAAAACGCCTGAAATGTGGGATATAAACTCGCAATTGCGAGAAAACGCCTGAAATGTGGAATATAAACTCGCAATTGCGAGAAAACCCCTGAAATGTGGGATATAAACTCGCAATTGCGAGAAAACGCCTGAAATGTGGAATATAAACTCGCAATTGCGAGAAAACCCCTGAAATGTGGGATATAAACTCGCAATTGCGAGAAAACCCCTGAAATGTGGGATATAAACTCGCAATTGCGAGAAAACGCCTGAAATGTGGGATATAAACTCGCAATTGCGAGAAAACACCTGAAATGTGGAATATAAACCTGCAATTGTAGAATATATATTTACCTTCGTGTCTCCTGTCAGTATTACACAAACATGTAAAAATTGGTGGGCAAAAGAACAAGAACACCATGTCAATGTCTAACAACCCTTAATGATCCTAAAAATAGGATTAATTTTCTTTATGCACAATGTTTTTTGCACCCATATTTTGGTGGGAATCGCCCACAGACAGACACTCACCTCCACTATCAGAAACACCTGCCGGTACAGCATCAGACATTCAGAAGAGTAATGGATCTGCCCTACAGACGCACACAGACAGCCTTCATAATCATCTTCCTCAAAGATGCAGCTCATAATGCGACGGCGCCATGACAGCTTGCCAATATGACGGGCCGAGCCCAGGACGGGCGCGGGGGTTTTTGACGTATATGCAGAGCGCTGAGATGCTCGGCGGGCCTGTCAAGAACACGGTTTCTTTTATTTCTCTGTTTAAGTGAGTTTAAGCAGCGATGTGACATCCTGAAGACACTTCACTAGATCGACTGCTGCTTCTCCTCTGAAAAAGTCAACGCTAAATGAACATTTCTTTTCTTAAGAAGAGCTTGTCTCTTTCTGAAAGAGACCAAAAAATACATGTTTAGATTAAGCCAATCAGGAGTGATATGAAGCTTGTTTTGAAATAGAAAAGTTGCAAGAAAAAAGTCTTATTTGCGAGATATAAACTCTCAATTGCGAGAAAAAGTCAGAATTGGGGTATATAAACTCGCAATTGCGAGAAAAAGTCAGAATTGTGGGATATAAACTGTCCATTGCGAGAAAAAGTCAGAATTGGGGTATATAAACTCGCAATTGCGACAAAACGCCTTAAATGTGTGATATAAACTCGCAATTGCGAGAAAAAGTCAGAATTGTGGGATATAAACTCACAATTGCGAGAAACCGGCTGAATTGTGGGATATAAACTCACAATTGCGAGAAAACGGAGCTGTTTTCTCGCAATTGTGAGTTTATATCCCACAATTCAGCCGGTTTCTCGCAAATTGAGGGATATAAACTTGCAATCGCTAAAAAAGTCAGAATTGGGGTATATAAACTCGCAATTGCGAGAAAAAGTCAGAATTGTGGGATATAAACTGTCCATTGCGAGAAAAAGTCAGAATTGGGGTATATAAACTCGCAATTGCGACAAAACGCCTTAAATGTGTGATATAAACTCGCAATTGCGAGAAAAAGTCAGAATTGTGGGATATAAACTCACAATTGCGAGAAACCGGCTGAATTGTGGGATATAAACTCACAATTGCGAGAAAACGGAGCTGTTTTCTCGCAACTGTGAGTTTATATCCCACAATTCAGCCGGTTTCTCGCAAATTGAGGGATATAAACTTGCAATCGCTAAAAAAGTCAGAATTATGGGATACAAACTTGCAATTGCGAGAAAAAGTCAGAATTATGGGATATAAACTCACAATTGCGAGAAAACGGCTGAATTGTGGGATATAAACTCACAATTGCGAGAAAACGGCTGAATTGTGGGATATAAACTCGCAATTGCGAGAAAACGGCTGAATTGTGGGATATAAACTCGCAATTGCGAGAAAACGGCTGAATTGTGGGATATAAACTCACAATTGCGAGAAAACGGCTGAATTGTGGGATATAAACTCGCAATTGCGAGAAAAATCTTGAATTTTCAGATACTGAAAATTCAAATACACAACTTGCAATAGTGAGAAAAAAGTGAAAATTGTTAAATATAAACTTGAATTGCCTTGACACAATTGCCTTGTTTATTTTTTGTTCCATGAAAGAAACAAGCTTTCATATAAAAAATACATTTTAGAGCAGAACTAGAAAACCGAATATTCACTATAGCCAAAAACATGACGTCGAGTTCTGATACAGATTCATTCCTTTATTAAGGTTCAGATATTGTTGCACAGGAATGTAGAGTAAAAAATACTTGTGATTAAAAAATCTGTTACAATGAATCAACTGAAACGTTCAAAAATTTCAGGCAACAAAGCAAAATAAAAAAATATACATATGTATATAGTATAGGTGGACTCGCGCGGGTAGCAGAGTCCAGAGCGCACGAGCCGCCCAAAGCTCAGCGGTTATTATTCATATTCTTAAATACTGATCAAGAGAATAATGCTTTGTTCTGTACAAACGAGAGGACGGAGGACAGAGACAGAAGGCCTTCCCCTGCCGGATCATTGCCTAACGCCTCACGCATCCGCACCTCGGGATCATCCGAGGGAAGAGCTTTACACACCAAACAAAGGATGAAGAGAGTGAGATGCTTTTTATTATTGTAGTGCTATCATTAGAGTTGGATTAAGTCTGTGCAGCCTTTCTTGCAGGATCATTCATGGAGAACAGAGAAGAGGATGAGCCGCGTCGTCCGGTTACGCGATCGCTTTGGCTTCCGGTAAGAACGCCTCCCAATACTTTATTAGCTGAAACACAGAGACAAGAGAAACAACACATGAACCTTTCCATGGTTCCGATCAGGAGAACACGGTTCTTCACTCTGATTGGTTGACCTTTAACCCTCATGTTGTGTTTAGGTCACTTTAACCCGGAGAGGATTTTCTTTACACCGGAAATCCTACAAAAGGTTCTATATGTATATTGTGAATATTTTCAGGATACAGCTTTAATTAAATTATTTGTTTTAATTAATTTTATTCTGATTACATTTTATGGATTAAGCAGCTCATAAACATACTTTATCACCAGAAAGAATTGAAATAACCCATTAAACATGAAAGTATTATGCAATCATGTAAGACATTTCTGCTTATATAGAACCTTTTGGGCATAAAGGGAGTCAAGAACCCTAGAGTTCAATATATTAGAACAACATTGAACTTTTATTCGAAAACTGTGTCTTAACCAGACGTGATGCGCTAATTCCAGCGACAAGCAGTTTTCTGTCACAGCCAATCAGAAGAGTGTGTGGGCGGAGTCTCTCTGCAAGCACACAGCACTCGCAACCAAATCAATAAAAAAAATCAGCCAATCAGAAGAGCTTGTGGGCGGAGTCTTTCTGCAAGCGCACAGCACTCGCAACCAAATCAATCAAAAATCACAACCAATCAGAAGAGAGTGTGGGCGGAGTCTCTCTGCAAGCGCACAGCACTCGCAACCAAATCAATAAAAAAATATCAGCCAATCAGAAGAGCATGTGGGCGGAGTCTTTCTGCAAGCACACAGCACTCGCAACCAAATCAATAAAAAAAATCAGCCAATCAGAAGAGCTTGTGGGCGGAGTCTCTCTGCAAGCGCACTGCACTCGCAACCAAATCAATCAAAAATCACAACCAATCAGAAGAGCTTGTGGGCGGAGTCTCTCTGCAAGCGCACTGCACTCGCAACCAAATCAATCAAAAATCACAACCAATCAGAAGGGCTTGTGGGCGGAGTCTCTCTGCAAGCGCACTGCACTCGCAACCAAATCAATCATAAATCACAGCCAATCAGAAGAGCTTGTGGGCGGAGTCTCTCTGCAAGCGCACTGCACTCGCAACCAAATCAATCAATAATCAGCCAATCAGAAGAGCCTATAAAAGGTCACGCAAACTCACATTAAGATTTAACATTAAATAAAGCACATAATCAGTAGCTGATATTATCATTATCACACTTTGTATGTTGTTGTTCCAGCCACGGCATCACAGAAATACAACCGTTTCTAAAATCGAATGGCCGCGTATCACCGCCGCGGCGTCACGTCTGGTCAGGACACAGTGTAGAGTGCGGTTAATGCCGTTTCACTGGACTAAACCTCACTGCCGGTGCTCATTCACTCAATTAGCACAGGTTTTGCTAATGAAAGAAAGTGCGCTGATAAAAAGGTGGAATCCAGTATTTGGTGATGGAGTCGAGATTCATATATTCAGCTCGAGGGTTCGACACGTACCTGCTGTTGTGTGTGAACTAGTGACTCCAGATATTTAACGATGACGACTTTGAAATCCTTCACTCTGTCCTTCTGTGAGGAGAAAAAGACACTCGTCAGAGAAACAAGCGTTTGGTGTGTTAGCGGCGAGAGCACACACACACACACACACACACACTGACGGCTGAACTCACCTCGAATCTCCCAACCTCTCGCCGGATGATTTTAGAGATCTGCTCAAAATCTCTTTCACCCTGCTGCACTTTCCCTTCCCACTAAACACACACACACACACACACACACACACACGAGACATGCTTTAGGAATAAGAGCTGAAAAACAGTCCGTCTCAAGCAGAATTAAACTCACGTCAGGTCAGAGGATCTAGTGGGCGCATGATTATCATTTATGGATGAGAGTGATGATCTATAATGAATCCTGCATTACAACTACAAATAAACAACACAACACATCAGCCAATGTACATTAAACACACAACTCAGCTGTTAAAGTGAGAGATGTAGTGTGTGTGTAAGCATGTCGTGAGCGTCTGATGAACCCATAATTAGGCTTTGATCTGCATGATGCAAATATAAGTGGCATGAAGAGTGTAAAAGAGCAGGCGTGAAGATGATGATGATGATGATGATGAAGACAGCAAATAAAACCAAAGCCACAGTCCTACCTCCTCGATCTCCTTCGTGGGGCGTGACGGGGAAAATGCAGAAATTAAAGAGGCTGAAAATGTTTCGTGCTTAAAAGAATCAATAACTGTCATGAACTCTTGCAGCTGTCGTGGGTTGAAGGAACAGTAGAGATATGAATGAACCGAAGGGAGGGAAGGAAATAAACATGCGGGATAATTCCCATCATCCCCGGCGCCGCTCACAAACTCAAGCTGTGTCACAAATATAGAGCAATAATATCATTTTTTTAATAACAGTATTATTTAGATATTTTATGTGCAATAATATTTGACTAGTTATGTCTTAATTAATTACTAATTATTGCACTGTTTTTATTCTTACATTGTCTATTCTAGTTTTTTGTATTCCTATTATGTATTTATTGGTGAAGCTGCTTAGACATGCACCCTAGTTTCTCATGTTTTTATTGATTAATGTTTTTATATTGTGTTTTGACCGGATCTTAGTATTTAGTTTCGTTCCTTCATGTAAAAATGTGTGTGGAATGACAATAAAAGACCCTTGAACCCTTGAAATGACGCTTTACGCACTATGTAGGCGACCAGCTTGTGTGTGAGGGTTATAAGGTTATTTTATTTAATAATCACTGGCTACATAATTAAAGCTGCGACTTTTCAGACTTCTTTTGTTGTTAATTACGTGCTTCATCCACTGAACTCTTTCTTGCTGGAATTTTCAACACAATATTTGCACTATTTATTCTACAAAATGTCCGAAATATCAATTCAAAAACCGAAACCGAAAACCGAAAATGACTCTTTTCCAACTTATTTTAAAATAGTTTATTAATTTAATTTAAAGTCCCCCGTAGTCAATAATTTGATCCTTTAAAACTCATCTTTGATCACCAAAATGACATATTCAAACGTTTTTTCCTTGAAAAAAATTCTTCATGCCTTAAAATATATTGAATGTAACTCGACACCCTCGCCTCATTCAGTATGCGCAGCTCTATGAATATGCAAATGAGCCCACTCAGCTCAGAGATCCACTGGTTGACGATCACACGTTGATCTGATTGGTGCAATCTAATTTTTACAACAAAAGATTTTTATTTGTCAAATAAGGTGCTGTACAACAGACTTTACTTTGTAAATGAAGACTGAAAAAATATTTTTTTGTTGAATGATAATAATGTATTATTATTGTTGTTATTACTACTTTGAGTGGGACATTGTAATAAACAATAGTCAAATATTTCTGTCACAGTTTCTTCAAGTTAAGCCAAACTTTTATTTTGGCAGGCTTTTTGACGATAGTTTTCTGAACTTTTATTTTGGTTTTTGTGCATAAATAAAAATGTCAGTGCATAAGTGTGTGAATTGGGACGCATTTTTACACACAAGCTCATGAACGAATCCGTGGATCAGACGCAGCTTGCGGCTCGTGTCAGTAATATCAGTCATGCGTATCCATGAGGATCGTGTCGTGTGTGTGTGTGTGTGTGTGTGTGTGTACCTCCTTGATCTCGTCTTTGGCCTGCTGGAGTTTGTCGGGTTTGTTGGCGTACTGTAGTTTGGCTTCGGCTTCTCTCTTCCGCTGGAGCATCATCTCCGCCTCCTGCCATTTGCCCCATGTTTTCATTCGCTGGTCGAACACGCCCTGCAGACACATGACGCGTCACATGACCAGCCGTGAGACAAACCAGACGCCAAGCAAAGTCAAGCAAAGCACTTCAAGCCTGTATGTCACTATATGATGCAAGAAGTAGTTTAATAACTGAAATATGTGATGCTGTGAATCATGCAGATTTTTTTTATTCATGTTTTAGTGCTTTCACTGCCTATCTGACATCTCATATCTCACAATCAGTGCTCTGTATGTCACTATATCAGGGTTCGTACAGATACTGTAAAACTACATTTCAAGACTTTTCAAGCACTACTTTTTTAGTTTTACAGGACTACAATCAGAGATCTCACTTATTAAATAATATCTTTATTATCTTTCAAATTCTAAAAAAGGTAAATGGACACATAAAAATAAACTAATAAAATAAAATGGTACAAATAAAGAGTAACACAAGCAATGACTGTGGTAACTTAACCATTGAAAAGATACTATGACAAAGATATCGCTTTCCTTATTCAAATTTCAAACTGATTTTTGTTTTCCATTAATATAAGATTGACCTGAAGAATGAAAGCTTTATAATATACTTGGATATTTATATGAGCAATATCACACTCATAGCCATGCGAAATGGCTCAATATCAATATCAGACGGACTGCAAAGTTAATTTTGTGTGAAAAGATTCTTTGATCAATAAAATTAAACACTAATATATTTTATTTCAATAATTCATTAAAGTACCTTTTAAATATGGCTGTTTTCAAGGGTTTTTCAGGACTTAAATTTTAAAAAGTCAAATTCAAGTACCTCAAGCACAGGGATAATTCAACCAAAAAATGAAAATTATCCCATGATTTACTCACCCTGAAGACATCCTAGATGTTTATGACATTCTTCTTTCAGACGAATACAATAAGAGTTATATTAAAAAATGTCCAGGTAATGAGAGCTTTATAATGAGAGTGAATGGCAGTTTTTGTTTTGAAGTCCATAAAAGTGCATCTATCCATCATAAAAGTGCATCTATCCATCATAAGTGCATCTATCCATCATAAAAGTGCATCTATCCATCATAAAAGTGCATCTGTCCATCATAAAAGTGCATCTGTCCATCATAAAAGTGCATCTATCCATCATAAAAGTGCATCTGTCCATCATAAAAGTGCATCTATCCATCATAAAAGTGCATCTATCCATCATAAGTGCATCTATCCATCATAAGTGCATCTATCCATCATAAAAGTGCATCTATCCATCATAAAAGTGCATCTATCCATCATAAAAGTGCATCTATCCATCATAAAAGTGCATCTGTCCATCATAAAAGTGCATCTGTCCATCATAAAAGTGCATCTATCCATCATAAAAGTGCATCTATCCATCATAAAAGTGCATCTATCCATGATAAAAGTGCATCTATCCATCATAAAAGTGCGTCTATCCATCATAAAAGTGTCTCTATCCATCATAAAAGTGTCTCTATCCATCATAAAAGTGCATCTGTCCATCATAAAAGTGCATCTGTCCATCATAAAAGTGCATCTGTCCATCATAAAAGTGCATCTGTCCATCATAAAAGTGCATCTGTCCATCATAAAAGTGCATCTGTCCATCATAAAGGTGCATCTGTCCATCATAAAAGTGCATCTGTCCATCATAAAAGTGCATCTGTCCATCATAAAAGTGCATCTGTCCATCATAAAAGTGCATCTGTCCATCATAAAAGTGCATCTATCCATCATAAAAGTGCATCTGTCCATCATAAAAGTGCATCTGTCCATCATAAAAGTGCATCTGTCCATCATAAAAGTGCATCTGTCCATCATAAAAGTGCATCTGTCCATCATAAAAGTGCATCTGTCCATCATAAAAGTGCATCTGTCCATCATAAAAGTGCATCTGTCCATCATAAAAGTGCATCTGTCCATCATAAAAGTGCATCTGTCCATCATAAAAGTGCATCTGTCCATCATAAAAGTGCATCTGTCCATCATAAAAGTGCATCTGTCCATCATAAAAGTGCATCTGTCCATCATAAAAGTGCATCTGTCCATCATAAAAGTGCATCTATCCATCATAAAAGTGCATCTGTCCATCATAAAAGTGCATCTATCCATCATAAAAGTGCATCTATCCATCATAAGTGCATCTATCCATCATAAGTGCATCTATCCATCATAAGTGCATCTATCCATCATAAGTGCATATATCCATCATAAAAGTGCATCTGTCCATGATAAAAGTGCATCTGTCCATGATAAAAGTGCATCTATCCATCATAAGTGCATCTATCCATCATAAGTGCATCTATCCATCATAAGTGCATCTATCCATCATAAAAGTGCATCTGTCCATGATAAAAGTGCATCTGTCCATCATAAAAGTGCATCTGTCCATCATAAAAGTGCATCTGTCCATCATAAAAGTGCATCTGTCCATCATAAAAGTGCATCTGTCCATCATAAAAGTGCATCTGTCCATCATAAAAGTGCATCTGTCCATCATAAAAGTGCATCTATCCATCATAAAAGTGCATCTATCCATCATAAGTGCATCTATCCATCATAAAAGTGCATCTATCCATCATAAAAGTGCATCTATCCATCATAAGTGCATCTATCCATCATAAAAGTGCATCTATCCATCATAAAAGTGCATCTGTCCATCATAAAAGTGCATCTGTCCATCATAAAAGTGCATCTGTCCATCATAAAAGTGCATCTATCCATCATAAAAGTGCATCTGTCCATCATAAAAGTGCATCTATCCATCATAAAAGTGCATCTATCCATCATAAAAGTGCATCTGTCCATCATAAAAGTGCATCTATCCATCATAAAAGTGCATCTATCCATCATAAAAGTGCATCTATCCATCATAAGTGCATCTATCCATGATAAAAGTGCATCTGTCCATCATAAAAGTGCATCTATCCATCATAAAAGTGCATCTATCCATCATAAAAGTGCATCTATCCATCATAAGTGCATCTATCCATGATAAAAGTGCATCTGTCCATCATAAAAGTGCATCTATCCATCATAAAAGTGCATCTATCCATCATAAGTGCATCTATCCATGATAAAAGTGCATCTGTCCATCATAAAAGTGCATCTATCCATCATAAAAGTGCATCTATCCATCATAAGTGCATCTATCCATCATAAAAGTGCATCTATCCATCATAAGTGCATCTATCCATCATAAAAGTGCATCTATCCATCATTCTAATTTTCATTTTTGGGTGAACTATCCCCTTACGCACGTGTCCTGACTCTGCTGTATGATGCAGAGTAGTCTGATAACTGCAGTGTGTCTGCGCTCACCTTGACGGCGGTGATGAGCCGCACGTAATCTCCCAGCAGCTCGGAGAACATGAAGAAGTCGTTGCAGGCCTGATCCTGGTGCAGCGTGTCGATCTTCTCCTCCACCTCGGCCAGCTGGGACAGCGCTCGCGACAGAGCCGTGTGATCCTCAGAGTTCCCCAGCATCGCGGAGCTCTTCGCAAACGACACCGTGTTCACCGACAGCTCTGCGGACCAGAGAGGAAGAAACATTTCTTTCAAAAACATTAAAAACGTAGTTTTCCAAACTCCTGACTGTGTATAGGACCATTAATATAATTCATAAAACAATATTTGTGATGTTGTTATGAAGCGCTCACCCTTCCTGTGACACACCAGCGACTCCACACTCGCGTGAAGCTTTCTGAGCTGGACGTCCAGATTCTCGAACTGCTGCTGTTTCTCCTCAAACCACTTCAGAAACACAGAAACACTTCAGGAGGAATCATGACCGAACGAGCCTTTCCAAGCCATGCTGACGCGTCACACACAGCCATAACACAGCCATAACACAGCCATAACACAGCCATAACACAGCCATAACACAGCCATAACACACAGCCACAACACAGCCATAACACACAGCCATAACACACAGCCACAACACACAGCCACAACACACAGCCACAACACACAGCCACAACACACAGCCACAACACACAGCCACAACACAGCCATAACACACAGCCACAACACACAGCCACAACACACAGCCACAACACAGCCATAACACACAGCCACAACACACAGCCACAACACACAGCCACAACACACAGCCACAACACACAGCCATAACACACAGCCATGACACAGCCATAACACACAGCCACAACACACAGCCACAACACACAGCCACAACACACAGCCATAACACACACCCATGACACAGCCACAACACACAGCCACAACAAACAGCCACAACACACAGCCACAACACACAGCCATAACACACAGCCATAACACACAGCCATAACACACAGCCATAACACACAGCCATAACACACAGCCATGACACACAGCCATGACACACAGCCATGACACACAGCCATAACACACAGCCATAACACACAGCCATGACACAGCCATGACACACAGCCATAACACAGCCATAACACACAGCTATGACACACAGCCATAACACACAGCCATAACACACAGCCATAACACAGCCATAACACAGCCATAACACACAGCCATAACACACAGCCATAACACACAGCCATAACACAGCCATAACACACAGCCATGACACACAGCCATGACACACAGCCATGACACAGCCATAACACACAGCTATGACACACAGCCATAACACACAGCCATAACACACAGCCATAACACAGCCATAACACAGCCATAACACAGCCATAACACACAGCCATAACACACAGCCATAACACACAGCCATAACACACAGCCATAACACACAGCCATAACACACAGCCATAACACACAGCCATAACACACAGCCATAACACACAGCCATAACACACAGCCATGACACACAGCCATGACACACAGCCATGACACACAGCCATGACACACAGCCATGACACACAGCCATAACGCACAGCCATAACACACAGCCATAACACACAGCCATAACACAGCCATAACACAGCCATAACACAGCCATAACACAGCCATGACGCACAGCCATGACGCACAGCCATGACGCACAGCCATAACACACAGCCATAACACAGCCATAACACACAGCCATAACACACAGCCATAACACACAGCCATAACACACAGCCATAACACAGCCATAACACAGCCATAACGCACAGCCATAACGCACAGCCATAACGCACAGCCATAACACACAGCCATAACGCACAGCCATAACGCACAGCCATAACACAGCCATAACGCACAGCCATAACACACAGCCATAACTCACAGCCATAACACACAGCCATAACACACAGCCATAACGCACAGCCATAACGCACAGCCATAACGCACAGCCATAACGCACAGCCATAACACACAGCCATGACACAGCCATAACGCACAGCCATAACGCACAGCCATAACACACAGCCATAACACACAGCCATAACACACAGCCATAACACACAGCCATAACACACAGCCATAACACACAGCCATAACACAGCCATAACACACAGCCACAACACACAGCCATAACAGACAGCCATAACACACAGCCATAACACACAGCCATAACACAGCCACAACACACAGCCACAACACACAGCCATTACACAGCCACAACACACAGCCATAACACACAGCCATTACACAGCCACAACACAGCCACAACACACAGCCATAACACAGCCATAACACAGCCATAACACAGCCATAACACAGCCATAACACACAGCCACAACACACAGCCACAACACAGCCACAACACACAGCCATAACACACAGCCATAACACACAGCCATAACACACAGCCATAACACACAGCCATAACACACAGCCATAACACAGCCATAACACACAGCCATAACACACAGCCATAACACACAGCCATAACACACAGCCACAACACAGCCACAACACAGCCACAACACACAGCCACAACACACAGCCATAACACAGCCACAACACACAGCCACAACACACAGCCATTACACAGCCACAACACACAGCCATAACACACAGCCATTACACAGCCACAACACAGCCACAACACACAGCCATAACACAGCCATAACACAGCCATAACACAGCCATAACACAGCCATAACACAGCCATAACACAGCCATAACACACAGCCATAACACACAGCCACAACACACAGCCACAACACACAGCCACAACACACAGCCACAACACACAGCCATAACACACAGCCATAACACACAGCCATAACACACAGCCATAACACACAGCCATAACACACAGCCACAACACACAGCCATAACAGACAGCCATAACACACAGCCACAACACAGCCACAACACAGCCACAACACACAGCCATAACACACAGCCATAACACACAGCCATAACACACAGCCATAACACAGCCACAACACACAGCCACAACACACAGCCACAACACACAGCCACAACACACAGCCACAACACACAGCCACAACACACAGCCACAACACACAGCCATAACACACAGCCATAACACACAGCCATTACACAGCCACAACACACAGCCACAACACACAGCCATTACACAGCCACAACACAGCCACAACACTCAGCCATAACACAGCCATAACACAGCCATAACACACAGCCACAACACACAGCCACAACACACAGCCACAACACACAGCCACAACACACAGCCACAACACACAGCCACAACACACAGCCATAACACACAGCCACAACACACAGCCATAACACACAGCCATAACACACAGCCATAACACACAGCCATAACACACAGCCATAACACACAGCCATTACACACAGCCATAACACACAGCCATAACACACAGCCACAACACACAGCCATAACACACAAAAATTCATTTTAATTTTATTTTAATAAATATTCTTATTTGATTACAATTTATTAATGTTTTGTTTAAATCAAATGTATATTATTTTATTTTAATACATTTTCTTGATTTGAATGATTTTAATCATTTCTATTTATTTATTTTAATTAATTAATTAATATTCATTTTATTTTAATACTTTTTATTATTTAATTAAAAGTTATTTATTTTTTTAATTCATATTTATATTATTTGATTTCATTTTAAAAGATTTTCTTATTTGGTTACAATTTATTTAAATCAAATGTACTGTATGTTATTTTATTTTGAATACACTTTCTTATTAGACTACAATTTATTTATTTACATTTATATTATAATAGATTTTGATTCCTATTTGATTAGAATTTATTTATTTATTTAAATCAGATTTTTATTATTTTATCTATTTTATTTATTTTAATTCAATTCACATTTATTTGTAAAGCGCTTTTCACAATACACATCAAATCCAATTTATTTCTTTATATATTTATTTAAATCAAATGTAAGTTATTTTATTTAATATTTTCTTGTTTATTTTTATCTTATTTATTTATTCATTTAAATCAAATTGTTATTATTTTATTTTATTACATTCTCTTATTTGATTACAATTTATTTATTGAAATAAAATTTGTATTTTATTTTATTAAATTTTCTTATTAGATTACAATTTTTTTAATTTAAATTGAATTTATATTAATTTTATTTTATTGAATTTTCTTATTTTATTACAATTTATTTATTTATTTAAATCAAATCTATATTATTTTATCTTAATTATTTTTCTGAATTTGAATCCAATTTATTTACGCATATATTTTCTATAAAACAAGTTTATATTAAATTTATTTTAGTAAATGTTCTAATTTATTGGATTCCAGTTAATAGCCGTATATGTGTGTAAGGATTATTATATCCATATTTCCATGAAGGCCTGATGGATGTGCAACACTGTAAACATATTTAACTGCGTATAAAGAGCACAGACGCGTCACATGACCTCTCTCTCTCACACACACACACACACACACACAAACACACACACACACACACACACACACACACACGTCTCAAGCCAGAGAGCAGCTCATTAATTCGTCTCATTATTCAAGTCCAGAAATCAGACTCTTACCGCATCCGCTTCATTCATCTTGATTGTCATCTTGTTGACAGCGTCGGCCGCCTTGTTTACCATCCTCAATATCCCTGCGCCGCTCAGCGCCTGAGTGCTAACCGCGCGCGGCAGCTGCACAACATGACAAATAAGGCCAAACAAACCGGTTAACAGATGCGATCCCGCGGGAAGCGTTTCCCAGCGCGCCGGGAGTTTCTCCAGTCCTATACATTTCAATGCTGGTCCAATTTAATACGTTTCACCGTGGAAAACTCTCAGAGGGCCGCGCGCAAAATAGCTTTCAATCGGGCCGGAGCGTTCAGCGCGTCCCCGTCCTGCATCACACACACACACACACTCCCTGTGCCAGAGTAAAGAGTGTGAACTACACCAGCATTAATCCTGAGTCGCTCGATCACCTTCATATCATTAGAGTTATGAGCGCATCATAATTAATAACAGCCATGCCTCATGCCTCTACATGTGGTAATTCTTTGAAATACTGAAATTTCAAAAGCAGATTTATTTTAATTTAACTTATTTATTTTAGTTCAATTTTATGAATTAACAATATTTTGATATTTATTTATTAATCATTTGAAATACCTTTAAAAATAATTCAAATAAATATAAATGCTTGTTAATGTATTTATTTTAATTAATTGTTATAATTTTTATTTAAATATATTGTAACATTTATGTATTTTAATACATTTAATAATTTAATTATTATATTATTCATTACTCAATCAATTCTTTGAAATACCTTCCCAAAGCAGATTTTTTATTTATTTAATTTAGTTCAATATTACTAATTAAACATATTTTGTTAAAATAGTTATTTTAATATTTATTTATTATTCTTTGAAATACCTTTCCAAAGCAGATCTATTGATTTTGATTAAATTAATTCATTTATTTTAGTTCAATATTATTAATTAAAAATATTAAGCAAAAAATATTTATTTTATTGTTCATTAATTATTTGAAATTTGTATTATTTTTGATTTACTTACATTATTTCTAAAAATATTTCTAAAAATATATTATAATATTTATCTTATTAATAAATGAATATGTTAATAATTATTATTTAATTAATTATTTGAAATACCTTTCCAGAGCAGATTTATTTTGATTTCTTTTGATTAATTTAGTATTTATTTTAATTACTTATTATTAATTACAAGTATTCTATTCAAATATTTATTAATTAATTCTTTGAAATAGCTTTATTTATTTATTTTATTTAATGTTTTGTATAGGGACAGAATAAACACATCCATCTAATGCTCATCAGTGCTTGTATTAAAGCTAATTTACAACATTTTATAAATTACAGTTACAACAGCAATTAGTTATTTTAATTAATTTTAATGAATTATTATTAATTAAAATATTTTTTTTAATATCTTTCAAAACCAGATCTTCTTTTCTCTTCAAACTCCACGTATTAAAATATTTTTGTGATTTTGAAACTCCAGTAGTGTGCAGGATTTTATATTTTTCTAGTATTTATCGTTATTCATCCAAAGCACCAACAATTGACTCGGGTGTACAGGCACTAGATCTTCATATATACACACACTCATTGGGATCCTGTGTTGGGTCAGTACCTCTGAACTCTCCAGAAACTGCAGGACGTCCGGGTCTTTGAGCAGCGCCGGGTGTTTGACGGTCCTCATCAGATACCTGCACACACACACACACACACACACACACACACACACACACACACACACACACACACACACACACGTCCATCAGCACCAGTTCTTTAACAGACACACCTGACCTTCACGTCACTCCACGGCCTGATAAAAAGGCCATAGAAATGTCAGCGCTTCACCGAACTGTAATTTCTATTCGATTCATCAGTTTGTGAAAACCAGCCGGCCGCGTGACAGCAGCAAACGCCCGCGCTCAAACATAATTATTCACCTAATACTTGTTGCTCAACCTTTTAGCCACAAAAGACCGAACACGAGTGATCTTTGCAACGCAGGAAACAGAGAACACGAGACTCACACACCGAGAAACTCAACGCTTCTAATCAGGGAACTAATGACGGCACACACTCTTCAGTGAACTAATGACGGCACACACTCTTCAGTGAACTAATGACGGCACACACTCTTCAGTGAACTAATGACGGCACACACTCTTCAGTGAACTAATGACGGCACACACTCTTCAGTGAACTAATGACGGCACACACTCTTCTGTGAACTAATGACGGCACACACTCTTCAGTGAACTAATGACGGCACACACTCTTCAGTGAACTAATGACGGCACACACTCTTCAGTGAACTAATGACGGCACACACTCTTCTGTGAACTAATGACGGCACACACTCTTCTGTGAACTAATGACGGCACACACTCTTCTGTGAACTAATGACGGCACACACTCTTCAGTGAACTAATGACGGCACACACTCTTCAGTGAACTAATGACGACACACACTCTTCAGTGAACTAATGACGACACACACTCTTCTGTGAACTAATGACGGCACACACTCTTCAGTGAACTAATGACGGCACACACTCTTCAGTGAACTAATGACGGCACACACTCTTCAGTGAACTAATGACGACACACACTCTTCAGTGAACTAATGACGGCACACACTCTTCAGTGAACTAATGACGGCACACACTCTTCAGTGAACTAATGACGGCACACACTCTTCAGTGAACTAATGACGGCACACACTCTTCAGTGAACTAATGACGGCACACACTCTTCAGTGAACTAATGACGGCACACACTCTTCAGTGAACTAATGACGACACACACTCTTCAGTGAACTAATGACGGCACACACTCTTCAGTGAACTAATGACGACACACACTCTTCAGTGAACTAATGACGACACACACTCTTCTGTGAACTAATGACGGCACACACTCTTCTGTGAACTAATGACGGCACACACTCTTCAGTGAACTAATGACGGCACACACTCTTCAGTGAACTAATGACGACACACACTCTTCAGTGAACTAATGACGGCACACACTCTTCTGTGAACTAATGACGGCACACACTCTTCAGTGAACTAATGACGGCACACACTCTTCAGTGAACTAATGACGGCACACACTCTTCTGTGAACTAATGACGACACACACTCTTCAGTGAACTAATGACGACACACACTCTTCAGTGAACTAATGACGGCACACACTCTTCAGTGAACTAATGACGACACACACTCTTCAGTGAACTAATGACGGCACACACTCTTCTGTGAACTAATGACGGCACACACTCTTCAGTGAACTAATGACGGCACACACTCTTCAGTGAACTAATGACGACACACACTCTTCAGTGAACTAATGACGACACACACTCTTCTGTGAACTAATGACGGCACACACTCTTCAGTGAACTAATGACGGCACACACTCTTCAGTGAACTAATGACGGCACACACTCTTCAGTGAACTAATGACGACACACACTCTTCAGTGAACTAATGACGGCACACACTCTTCAGTGAACTAATGACGGCACACACTCTTCAGTGAACTAATGACGGCACACACTCTTCAGTGAACTAATGACGGCACACACTCTTCAGTGAACTAATGACGGCACACACTCTTCAGTGAACTAATGACGGCACACACTCTTCAGTGAACTAATGACGGCACACACTCTTCTGTGAACTAATGACGGCACACACTCTTCTGTGAACTAATGACGGCACACACTCTTCTGTGAACTAATGACGGCACACACTCTTCTGTGAACTAATGACGGCACACACTCTTCTGTGAACTAATGACGGCACACACTCTTCAGTGAACTAATGACGACACACACTCTTCAGTGAACTAATGACGGCACACACTCTTCTGTGAACTAATGACGGCACACACTCTTCAGTGAACTAATGACGGCACACACTCTTCAGTGAACTAATGACGGCACACACTCTTCAGTGAACTAATGACGGCACACACTCTTCTGTGAACTAATGACGGCACACACTCTTCTGTGAACTAATGACGGCACACACTCTTCTGTGAACTAATGACGGCACACACTCTTCTGTGAACTAATGACGGCACACACTCTTCTGTGAACTAATGACGGCACACACTCTTCTGTGAACTAATGACGGCACACACTCTTCAGTGAACTAATGACGACACACACTCTTCAGTGAACTAATGACGGCACACACTCTTCAGTGAACTAATGACGACACACACTCTTCAGTGAACTAATGACGGCACACACTCTTCAGTGAACTAATGACGACACACACTCTTCAGTGAACTAATGACGGCACACACTCTTCAGTGAACTAATGACGACACACACTCTTCAGTGAACTAATGACGGCACACACTCTTCAGTGAACTAATGACGGCACACACTCTTCAGTGAACTAATGACGACACACACTCTTCAGTGAACTAATGACGACACACACTCTTCAGTGAACTAATGACGGCACACACTCTTCAGTGAACTAATGACGACACACACTCTTCAGTGAACTAATGACGACACACACTCTTCAGTGAACTAATGACGGCACACACTCTTCAGTGAACTAATGACGACACACACTCTTCAGTGAACTAATGACGACACACACTCTTCAGTGAACTAATGACGGCACACACTCTTCAGTGAACTAATGACGACACACACTCTTCAGTGAACTAATGACGGCACACACTCTTCTGTGAACTAATGACGGCACACACTCTTCTGTGAACTAATGACGACACACACTCTTCAGTGAACTAATGACGGCACACACTCTTCTGTGAACTAATGACGACACACACTCTTCAGTGAACTAATGACGACACACACTCTTCAGTGAACTAATGACGGCACACACTCTTCAGTGAACTAATGACGACACACACTCTTCAGTGAACTAATGACGGCACACACTCTTCTGTGAACTAATGACGGCACACACTCTTCTGTGAACTAATGACGGCACACACTCTTCTGTGAACTAATGACGGCACACACTCTTCTGTGAACTAATGACGGCACACACTCTTCTGTGAACTAATGACGGCACACACTCTTCTGTGAACTAATGACGGCACACACTCTTCAGTGAACTAATGACGACACACACTCTTCAGTGAACTAATGACGACACACACTCTTCAGTGAACTAATGACGGCACACACTCTTCAGTGAACTAATGACGACACACACTCTTCAGTGAACTAATGACGACACACACTCTTCAGTGAACTAATGACGGCACACACTCTTCAGTGAACTAATGACGACACACACTCTTCAGTGAACTAATGACGACACACACTCTTCAGTGAACTAATGACGGCACACACTCTTCAGTGAACTAATGACGACACACACTCTTCAGTGAACTAATGACGGCACACACTCTTCTGTGAACTAATGACGGCACACACTCTTCTGTGAACTAATGACGACACACACTCTTCAGTGAACTAATGACGGCACACACTCTTCAGTGAACTAATGACGACACACACTCTTCAGTGAACTAATGACGACACACACTCTTCAGTGAACTAATGACGGCACACACTCTTCAGTGAACTAATGACGACACACACTCTTCAGTGAACTAATGACGGCACACACTCTTCTGTGAACTAATGACGGCACACACTCTTCTGTGAACTAATGACGGCACACACTCTTCTGTGAACTAATGACGGCACACACTCTTCTGTGAACTAATGACGGCACACACTCTTCTGTGAACTAATGACGGCACACACTCTTCAGTGAACTAATGACGGACACACACTCTTCAGTGAACTAATGACGGCACACACTCTTCAGTGAACTAATGACGCACACACTCTTCAGTGAACTAATGACGGCACACACTCTTCAGTGAACTAATGACGGCACACACTCTTCAGTGAACTAATGACGGCACACACTCTTCTGTGAACTAATGACGGCACACACTCTTCTGTGAACTAATGACGGCACACACTCTTCTGTGAACTAATGACGGCACACACTCTTCTGTGAACTAATGACGGCACACACTCTTCAGTGAACTAATGACGGCACACACTCTTCAGTGAACTAATGACGGCACACACTCTTCTGTGAACTAATGACGGCACACACTCTTCTGTGAACTAATGACGGCACACACTCTTCTGTGAACTAATGACGGCACACACTCTTCAGTGAACTAATGACGGCACACACTCTTCAGTGAACTAATGACGGCACACACTCTTCTGTGAACTAATGACGGCACACACTCTTCTGTGAACTAATGACGGCACACACTCTTCAGTGAACTAATGACGGCACACACTCTTCAGTGAACTAATGACGGCACACACTCTTCAGTGAACTAATGACGGCACACACTCTTCTGTGAACTAATGACGGCACACACTCTTCTGTGAACTAATGACGGCACACACTCTTCTGTGAACTAATGACGGCACACACTCTTCTGTGAACTAATGACGGCACACACTCTTCAGTGAACTAATGACGGCACACACTCTTCAGTGAACTAATGACGGCACACACTCTTCTGTGAACTAATGACGACACACACTCTTCTGTGAACTAATGACGGCACACACTCTTCAGTGAACTAATGACGGCACACACTCTTCTGTGAACTAATGACGGCACACACTCTTCTGTGAACTAATGACGGCACACAC